TTTGTTGCCCTGGGTAGAGTGCCACGGCATCATCATATCTCACAGCAAACTCAAACTCATGGGGTCAAGTGTTCCTCTTGCCTTAACTTCCCAAGTAGCTGGCACCCACCACAATATCCGGCTAGTTTTTAATTTTTGTAATAGAGACAGGGGTCTCACTCTTCTCAGGCTGGTCTTGAACTACTAAACTCAAGGAATCTATCAGCCTTGGCTCCCCAAGTGCTAGGATTACAAGAGTGAATCCTTCCTGGCCTTGAGATAGCAATGTAGAGATTTTCAAGTTATAAGGAGTCACACAATAGAATATTTAGCCACGTGGCTGCCAGGCTTCCTCAGATAGTCATTGTCCGGGTTTTCTTACTTCCAGGAGTTTTGTCATATTTTTCTTCCATGTTTCATGGTTTATAGATGATTTGTACCCCATTAGTTTATTTCATATCCATGGACATTTCTCCTGTCTCTTGACTTAAAGGCTACGACAATACATGTCCTCACCTGGGATTAGATGATCAGGACTTGCCAACCGTGTGAAGGGGTGGCACTAAAAGTGAACGTGCATGTTCCTTCACGTTAGCTCCTTACCTGTGAGAGGTTGCTTAGAGCCCGTTGAATCCCTTAGTCTACCATCAATGGACCTTTCTTCCATAAAATAGATTATTCAAAATTATTTTTCTTATTAATCACCAAGAAACTGTCACATCAAATGTTCTTTTCCTGTTCTCCTAAAATTATTGGGGAAAAAGATTTTCTTTAAGACAGAAGTTATTTCAGTATTAGCTATATAGTGCTGTCTACATCTCAGGGACATGGCCCCATGTGCCTTGAACTTGATCATTGTAATTAACTTTTAGAACTCTGTGTCCAAGCAGCTCCTCATGTCACTGGCCATCTCCATTTCAGATGTGAACTCAAGTTCACCCTGTAACTAATCACACCCATACACAAGACTTGTTAAGTATCCATATTTGTCTTTTGTGCTGTAATATATAAGTCAGCAGGGACTCCCCTCACCCTTAGGGCATAGTACTGTCAGAACCAAAAGATGTGTATCCTTCCTAGGGACCAGAAAAAGGAAGAAAGAAAAGAAAAAAAAAGAATTGAAAAAGAACTGCTAGATGTGAACCTCTTAGAGTGTCCTTGGGAAGAAATTGCTTCTCTATTTACCAGCAATTTATAGAGAAATTGCTTCTCTATAACTATTTAATAGTTCTAGCATTTTTCTTTAATATGGCAGATAGGAAGTCATCTGCCCAATTTGAAGCACAGAAGAAAATAATTGCTGAAGTTTTTTTTTTTTTTAATAACCATTCCCACTGTTTATAGTCTCTTAGATCAGTGTTCTCAACCTTCCTAATGCTGCAGCCCTTTAATACAGTTCTTGTGGGTCGTGACCCACCGGTTGAGAACCGCTGTCTTAGATACTCCTATAATACTTAATGAGAAGTTTGTGAATGTTGTTGTAAAGTATTATATAATGTATGATTTGAAAAGGGATTACTTGTCATTTTAATGTTTAATCAATCTATAATATATTAGATTGAAGCTTTATCTAAAGTGCTTTGAGTTTGTATAACATATCTTGACAAAATTTTACAAAAATAAATAAATAAATTTTGCTACCATACATTAGGAAATAGATGTGTATTTTTGTACTTGCAGAAACTGCTGCTAACGTTTAAAGTTGTTTGATTTTCAGGCACTGGTAATGGGTATGTATGAAGTCCATGCTGTCTATTAAATAAATGCCATTCTGTAATAGTATTAAACCACCAGAGCAAGACTGCCCATTGTAGAATTGTGCCAGTTAATGAGCTAAATCTCTGCCTAACATTGGAAATTTCACAGAATATAATTGATGTTGAGTTGAACTTGGAGCTTTTAATCAGAAACCATGGTCAGTCTTTTCAAAAAAGGGTTTTTTTTCTTTCAGATTTTCTCTAATTTTATTTACCAAACAAGTCATGTTTAGACACAAAGTCTTCATTTCCTTTTTCTTTTTTCATTTTTTAAACTTTACTAACCAAGATCCAAATTAAGAAAAAGATTGCTGTAGATAGGATTAAAAGAGAATTTAAATCTATATAGAAATAAATCATCTAAATTGATAAAAATGGGCATTGTATTTTCATTTCATTGCATCCTTTGAATGAAATGTCGTCAATATCCTTATTCCAAAAGAACTATCAGCTCACTTTAATTGATTATATGAGCCTCTCTTAACTTACTTTGGGCCATTGTGACCAGAGCACCCAGCTGACCCCAGACCCATACCAAGACATCAGTGCTTTTCAGGTCATATAAATTTATTAGTTATGATTAGATTCTCCCAACTGCTGTATCTCTGTCTTTCAGAATTTGTTGCGGTTCCCTCTGTGTAAATTGAATCACGATTTCAAAGGGATTCAGAAAAATATACTACCTTAGTCCAGAAAAATTAATTTTTTGCTCTAAGTGGGCAGTGAAGGTTATAATTCTTCTGTCAGAAATGACGGGGGTGGCTCTGTGCCTGTAGCTCAGCGGCTAGGGTGCCAGCCACATACACTGGAGCTCGTGGGTTTGAATCCAACCTGGGCCTGCCAAACAACAATGACAACTACAAAAAAAAAAAAAAAATAGCCAGGCATTGTGGCAAGTGCCTGTAGTCCCAGCTATTTGGGAGGCTGGGGCAAGAGAATTGTTTAAGCCCAGGAGTTTGAGGTTGCTGTGAGCTGTGATGCCATAGCACTCTACTGAGGGTGACAGCTTGAGACTCTGTCTCAGAAAAAAAAAAAGAAAGAAAGAAATGCCAGGGGTTAGTGTATGTAGACGTACACTGACATTAATTTCTCTTTAAATTTTACAAAAATAAAGATAATTTTGCTTTATTATTATTATTTTTAGCAATAGTTGTACCTTGGATAAACCTCATTGGCTGTAATACTGCCACTGCACAAAGCTATTTTGCTTTTATGAAAAAAGATATTTTAGTCTCTTTTTGTAGATAAAGATATTGAATGATTGAATGGCTTCTATAGGGAGGCAGAGTGGGGACCAGGTGCCAAAGCTCCTGACCCTCTCCCGGTCCATATCCCCAGCAGAGCAATGAATGGCCCCTTTTAGCGGCTGCTAACCAGTTTACACTTAGCTTTTCTCTCAACAGGAGCATAAAGGTTTCCCTGTGAATCCAAACCAATGGAACAAAGAGTTCTTTCCCTTTCAGGGTGAATAGTAACCCAGGAGAACTCACTGCCACAAGTTGTTATTATTATAGCAAATAACTAAGTGGGGATAAAAACAAGATCAAACACCGTCCGAACGGGAAAACCATAGCAAACTTTCAAACCCATTTGCTATGAAGTAGTAAATGGTCACTAACTCAAATCTGGGGCGACATCTCAGTAAGAGATAATTAGGTGTGGTTTTTTGTTTTTATTTATTTATTTATGGGAATGTTTTGTATCTTATTTTGAAACACTCTAGGTAGCTCTAAGCAGAGATTCGTGCAAACTCTTATGAAGGCTCCAAAGGGCTTGAATAGGCTCAACTTTGTACTTTCTAGCTTTCCCCTGAGGAAGTGTGGGTCTCATGCTGCATAATGGTCCGTTTGCTAACTGGTTTCTCCCTCAGAGAACTCCTTGCAGGCAGGGGCTGTACTGTGGTGACTGTGATATCCTTCCTTACCGCTAACGCAGTATGTGGCACGGAATTGGTGCTTAGTCCCTTGTTGGACTGTTGAATCCCATTTGGCCAGTTGGACCCTGAGGCATTGTTAAGTAGTTAGACGGGAGCTTGCTATTCCAGGCTATTCTAGGATTCTATAGAGAATGTCCTGGGATTGTACAGAAGGAAAAATTCAGTTGTGCATAATGTTGCTTTTGCTTAATTTCCTAAATTATTTTCAGTCAGCTTAATTGGTCAAGCAAAAGGGTTCTGAGATGGATCAAAATCGAGTTTTAAAATGCCTATATGCCTCTCTCTTCCCCTATGACCTTCCTTCGGGCACAAGACTAGTATGCCATCAAATCCCAGAATTAACTTGGAAAGGACAATTTTTAAAACCAGAAATTGTCATCTTAGTGTTATGCAGGTCAGAAGCCTTAACCATTTAAGTCCTTGGAGGTATCTTGGAAACTGCTGCATGGATTGGAGTTCTATCAATGAAAATACAAGGATGTGAGATTAGTGTCCTATACATTTTCTTTTCGTTCTCATGAGTTTTGTGAGTGTACACATGCTTTAAAAGAGCTCTTAGTTAAATCCAATTGCAACACGTATAATAACAGCAATAAAACTGTGTATGATAAAACATTTCCAAGCCCCAGCTGGTGGCCTGCTCACAACAGCAATTATACCATCCCCAGGTTTGGCATGATGAGATGTGATTTGTGTTTGC